GTCAATAGAAGGGAACCAGTGGATGTGTAGTACTTGGATTTCCAGGACCTATTTAATAAGGTGCCACATCAAAGGTTATTGTGGAAAATGAAAGCTCATGGTGTAGGGGGTAACATATTGGCATGGATAGAAGGTTGGCTGGCTAAAAAGAAACAGAGAGCAGGAATAAGTCGATCTTTTTCAGGCTGGCAGGATGTCACGAGTGGTGTGCCACAGCGCTTGGTGCTGGGTCTTCAACTGTATACAATTTATATAAATGATTTGGAAGAAGGGATCAATGGTATTGGAACTAAATTTCTGATCACACACAGATAGTGAGTTGTGAGGAGAACATAGGAGCCTTCAAAGGGATATAGAAAGATTAAGTGAGTGGGCAAAGATCTGGCAAATGGAGTGCAATATGAGAAAGTGTGAAATTGTCCATTTTGGCAGAAAGAATAAAAATGAAATATATTATCAAAATGATGAGACGTTGCAGACCCGTAAGATGCAGAGAGATTTAGGTATCCTAGAGCATGAATCACAAAAGGTTAGTATGATGTACAGCAAGTAATCAGGAAAGCTAGTAGAATGTTATGGTTTATTACAAGAGGAATTTAATGCATGGTTAAGAAGGTTATGCTTCAGTTAAATGGGCATTTGTGAGACTGCATCTTGAGTATTGTGTACAGTACTGGTCACCATGCCTGTGGAAGGATATTAATGTATTGGAAGCAGTTCAGAGAAAGTTTATGAGATTAATACCTGGAAAGACCAGACTGCCTTATGAGGAAAGGCTAGTTAGGCTTGGCCTGTGTAGTCTGGAACAAAAACAAAAATTACAAGAGGAACTCAGCAGGTGTGGCAGCATCTGTCCAGAGAAAGCACAGACAATGTTTTGGATGCAGTGACCCTTCCTATGGAGAGTGAGACTGGAGAACTAATAATGGAAAACAGGAAATGGCTGATGAACTGACCAGTTATTTTGCATCAATTTTCGCAATTGAGTTTAATGTAACATTCCAGAAACAGCAATAAATCAGCAAATGGAGGAAATCAGGAAAATCACAATCATGGAAGAAGTGGTGCTGAGCACATAATTGGATCTGTAGGCTGACAAGTGTCTGCGTCCTGATGGATTTCATCTGAGGGTCTTAAAAGAAGTGGCTAGTGAGTCAGTTGATGCATTAGTCCTAATTTTTTGGAACTGTTTTGATTTGGTGATGGTCCCATTAGATTGGAAAATACCAAATTTAACTTTTTATTCAAAGAAGTTGGAAATAGAAAGCAGGAAACTACAGGCTAGTTAGGTTAACATCTCCTGTCAAGAAAGTGTTAGAAGTTACCACTAAAGAAGTATAAGTGCAAGGTAATCAGACAGACTCCGCATGATACTGTTAAAGGGAAATCATATTTGGTCAATCTATTGGAGTTCTTTGAGGAGCTGACACATGCTGTGGATAAGAGGAACCATGGGATGTAATGGATGTAGATTCTAGAAGGCTGTTGATAATGTGCCCCATCAAAGGTTACAGCAGAAAATGAAAGCTGATGGTGTAGGGTGGTAGCATATTAGCATGGATAGATGATTATCTGGCTAACAGGAAGCAAAGAATAGGCATGGATGGTCTTTTTCAGATTGGCAAGATCTAACAACCGTATGTCACAGTGATAAGTGCTGGGATCTCAACGGTTTATAATTTATACAAATGACTTTGATGAAAGAACAGAAGGTAATGGTTGCCAAACTTTCCAACAACGCAAAGATAGGTAGGAAAGTAAGTTTGGAAGCAGACCTAAGGAGACTACAAAAACACACAGATTCGTTAAGTGAATGGGCAGAGTTGTGGAGAATAATGTGGGAAGGTGTGAAATTGTCCAATTTGGCTGGAAAAATGAAAAAAAAGCATATAATCAAAATGTTGAGAAGTTGCAGAGCTTGGAGATTTAGAGAGATCTGGGTGTTCTCATGCATGAATTGCAAAAGGGTAGTAATGCAAGTGCAGCAGGTAATCAGGAAAACTAATAAATTGTTGCCATTTATCACAAGGGGAATTGTTTAGAAAAGCAGGGAGGTTATGCCTCAGTTTTATTGGGCACTGTAAGACCACAGCTGGAGTACTATTCACAGAAACCTTAGCATACCTTACTTATGGAGGATGTGATTGCTTTGGAGGCGATGCAGAGAAGGTTTACGGGACTAATATCTGGAATTATGGGTTTGTCTTATGAGGAAAGGTTGGATAGGCTAGGCTTGTATCTGCTGGAGTTAAATAGTGTAAGAGATGACTAGATCAAAACATATAAGATGCTGAGGGTTATTGACAGTGTCGATGTGTAGAGGATGTTTTCTCTTATGGAAGAATTTAGAACTAGAGGTCTGTGTCTAAAGATCAGGAGACAACCATTTAGAACAGAGACTAGGCAAAATGTTTTCTCTCAGAAGCTCATAGGTCTTTGGATCTCTTCCTGAAAAGATAGTGGATGCAGAGTCCTTGAATATTTTGAAGGCAGAGGTAGATAGATTCTTGTTAAACAAATGGGTAAAAGGATATGAGGGGTGGGCAGAAATGCGGATTTTTAGCTACAATTAAATCAGCCATGATCTTATGGAATGCAAAGAGGCTCTTTAGGACTGAATGGCCTACTCCTACTCCTCATTCAAATTCCCATATATATGTTCACATGATCAGTGATGGGACTGCAACTAATTGCGGATGCATTTAAAACTGATGACCTGTTTAGGTCAACAAACATACAGATTCTGCCAAGACTTCAAGGAAACACATGCTACTAAATTCTCCTAAGCAATGGATAGCACCTACTTTGGGACAAGCTGGTAGAATTTTGGAACAGGCCAAATCTAATATGTTAAAATCATTTTATAATATCAATTTAATTGCACAACATTTTCAACGATTTGGTCTGCTACCCAAGTTAACTTTAAACAGGAGCACAGATTCTAATAGGCAGGTGAATAAGGAAGGATAGGTACACAAGATGACCAATTTCAAATGATGGAAAATGTTTGGGAGTGTTATTTGACCATGTACTGAAAGCATAGTTAGTACTGGTCAGTACAGAGCACTTGTGAATATTATATTATTTACACTGCAGCTTCAGACAGTATTGCTTGGTCCATGTCTGGCTATAACTTTGTGATTCATCTATTTAGGAGAGATGTGTATATATGCATGGTTAAACACAAGTGCCAAGCTCTGTCTCAGCAATTCCATTTCTAAATATTTAGGCAGTGTGGGTAGAAGCATCTGTATTGTCTAATTCATTATTAATAGTAGAACTCCCTTGGGTAATTTTTAAACCCTGTTTGACATCTTGCTGAATGTACACACCATGTGGTATTAAACCGAAGTAGAGTGAGACCACCCCCTGCAGGAAGTCTCACATCAGTTCACAGTTGAATCAGATCAGCCGTGATGAGATTTACAATATAGCCTTAGCCTGACCAAAGTAGAAACTGCTATTCACAACAAGAAAACAAGGTATAGTTGAGCGAAATTAGATGCTGGGGTGTATCTGTCAGAAATTAAACATTAATCAGGACGAGCTTGACTGACACAAACAGAGTTATCGGTTCAGGTAACCTTTCGTCAGAATGCAAGAATTGTACCAACATTGCACAGGTGAATGATAGGTTAATTTGTCAAGCATGATGGGACGTTTGAACTATCTTGTCTTAAAAGGACATAGCTACAACAGAAAGGACTCAGCAGCATGGTCAGGATGATTACATGTTGTGCAGTGCAGAATCTCTTCAAGATACCATTTCAGAATCTTCTTCTGTGACTGGTTGAGACATATTCTTTTTCTTTTTGACCCATGTCAATGGTCCTTCGCAGAACAATAATGCACAAAGTAAGTACATTGTAATAATCTGCGATACCCTGTTCAGGTGCTGCAAGAAAGATACCTAAACTGAGGAATGTGAACATTGATTTCTTCATCCCAATGGTCTGTCCACCAATAGCTTGAAATCCATATGTGTCTCATTGTATCCCACTTTAGGTAGGTTCCTGGTTTTGTGAAAAAGTTCCGATGATTATCCTCCATTTCATAGCGACTGATCCATGTGGAAACAAATGAAATCTCTAGTCTCATTCTGTCAGCTGCCTGAAGGCAATATGCATATTTCAATGATTAGTCAACTATGTCCTGCTACTGAATGGAATCGTTCAGTAACTTAATTTCACAGCAGCAGTCAACCACTTGATCTTGTCCTTGATGTGATTTTAATTTCTGGCTACAGGAGGTTTGATAGCTCTGTTATTTCAGAAAGTTTTGTTTCTATAAGTAGATCTCCTTAGAAATAAGGAACTGTGATTACCTTGTTTTGCATCGTTGGTGTCAGTGCCTTTGCTCTTGATCCCAAACAGAGTAAGTATAGCTGCTTTGTAGACTCAATGATACCACTTTTATTCCCCTTGAGAGAGAGTTAGAGAACAAGAGAGAAAGATGGTGGTGGAATACTGATGGGATCTATGTAGATTTTGTATAAATGCAGTTTCCTTCAAACATATCAGATGAATTACTGAAATGTTTGTTTAAAAAATGGACATAGCTTCAGTAAGGAAAACAGTAAAAATAGTAAAGACAGATATAAATTAGTGTATCAAATTACCGTGACTTTGTACAAGTACCAAGCAGGTGCCACTTTAAATAAAGACCCTGACATGACCAAGTGGAGCCTAAAATCCAGAAATGATTTATGTGACTAATGAGCAGCTGTAGTACTGTTCAGCTACTGAGGCTTAACCTCCATATTTATTCCTTAACAATCCTAGCATTCAGCTGGTGCACAGGTCTTCAGTGTCATAATTTTGTGCCTGCTGTAATATGCTGTGATGCACACAATGGGTCCTTGGAAGATCTCAGTACTTCATGAAATAGATCAAAATATATTTAAATTTATCTTTTGATAGTTTAAAATGTTTTTGTTTCGGTGGTGCATGGTGTAATATTCAGATTATCCAATCATTATATTAATGTATTTAATATTCTAGGATCAACTCCTTACTGAATAAGCAAAAACTCGTTATCCATGATACTGTGGTTGATGATGGCAAGCTTTCTTCTTTGATTAAGTCAATCAACAAGCTTTTCAACAGCTTGTCCAAGAATGATTCCTCAGTCAGGAAGGCACTACTGGCATGTGAGTTTGAGCGTTTTATTTTGTAATACAGCAATATGCCTAATTATTTAACAACTTTAAAGGCAATGTAATTTAAATAAGAAATAAAATGTTCAGTTAAAATAATTTTTATACATCCTATATCTAAGTTTTTTATGTTATGTTAGTTTACTATATGTACATTGACCACATCCTACACCACCTTACCACCACCTCACAGCTCTCAGATTCCTTATTGGCATCTGGCATTGAAAGAGCAGAGATTTCTGTTGATTAAATATTGGGCAGATTGAAGCCATTGTTTTCTGTTTCTCCTCCAAACTCCATTTCCTAGCTACTGGCTTCCCACCCTCTCCCTGGTAACCATCTAAAGTTAAACTAGCCTGTTCATAACCTTGGTATCACATCTATGTCCAAGATGAGCTTTTAACATCACATTCATGTCACTATCACTATTTTGATCTCTGTAACATCATCCAGCTTCGCTCTGCCTCAGCTTACCTGCTGCTGGAAACCTCTTTGATGGCTTCATTATTTCTGAACTTGATGATTCCAAAGCATCCCTGATTGGTTCCCCAAATTCTACCCTCTGTGGACTAAATTTATTCATTCATGGGATGTGGGCAATGCAGGCAAAGACAGCATTGTTACCTATCCTAATTATCCTTAAACTTGCTCGAGCACTTCAGAATTAACCATGTTATTGTGGATCTGTTGTTATATGTAAGCCAGACCAGGTAAGGATAGCAGGTTTCCTTCCCTGGAGGACATTAGTGAGTCAGATGTATGTTTACAACAATTGATAATAGCTTCATGGTCACCATGTTCTGACTAGATTTCAATTCCAGATTTTTGGACTTTGAAACTTGAAGTGATCCAAACTTCTGGTGCTTGTTCTTAAGTTGCACCAAATCCAATTCACCTGTGTTCCTCAATCTATGCTGATACCCTGTCAAGCCAAATTTTGATTTTAAAATTTTAAGCCTTGTTTTCAAATTCTTCCATGATCAGGCCCCTCCCTATATTGTAATCTATTTCAGCCCCTCTAGATGTATGCCCTTCTCCAATTGTAGACTCTGGCGTCTTATCCATCCCTGATTTGAGTCGCTCCACTTATAGATGGATATGCCTTCAGTTGACTAGGACCTAAGCTTTGGAATTCAAAAGGGGAAGGACTGATGTGGTGGTAATATCACTGGACTAGTAACTCAGAACCCCAGATTAATGTTATGGGGACATGGTCTGAATGCCACCCTGGTAAATGGTAAAACTTAGAGTCAATAAAAAATCTGGAATTAAAACCTAGCCTAATGACAACCATGTAACTATTGTCATAAAAGCTCATCTGGTTCTGGAAATCTGCCATTTGGCCTACGTGTGATTACTGACCTGAGGACAGGACGGAAAGAGTTGTCCTGGGTGTCCTCAACATGGACTGTGCACCTCAGGAAATCTCATGGTATCAGGTGAAGCAAAAGGAAGGAAGGAAATTTCCTGCTGATTACCACCACTGCCCCTTGTCCGGCTGATGAATCAATACACTTCCATGTTGAACACCACCTGAAGGAAGTGCTGAGGATGGCAAGGGCACAAAATACACTCTGGGTGGGGTGGTGTCCATCATCAAGTGTGGTTTGGTACCACCACTACTGACAGAGCTAGATGCGTCCGAGAGGAAAACTGGCTAGACTGGATCTGTGGCAGGTAGTGAGAGAACCAACATGGAAGAAAAAATCTATGTGACTTCATCCTCTCCAATCTACCTGTTGCAGATGTGTCTGTCTACGAAGATATTCGTAACAATGACCGCCGCTTAAGGAGACAAAGTCCTGACTTCACATTGATGTTATCCTCCATTGTGTTGCATGGCACTACCACTATACTAAATGGAACAGACCTAGTTACTCAGACCTGGGCATATATGAGGCTTAGTGGTCCGTCAGCAGCAGCAGCAGCAGAATTGTGCTCAAACACCATGTACAACCGCATAGTCTGATTCCACCATTAAAATCAAGTGTGCAGAAGTGAGGCTCGGTGCAGACTGGAAGAACAGCACCTCATTTTCCACTCGGGGACCCTGCAGCTTCAGGAGTCAATATCCAGGTTATTAATTTATGGCCTGAACATCATCTTCCATGTCCTTTACCCAACTCCACATGGGCTACTTTCATCGTAACCAACCCATTTTCACCTACTAATGATTCCCATCATCAACTTTACTTACTCCCTGACTCACCATTATCCATCTCTTTGGCTGCTTAATTGATGTTCTTCTTTGTGATCCATCTCCACCCATTGCATATTCTTCCAACCATCCCTTCCCCAACCAACACACACCCTATCTTCAGCACATATGTCATCTTTTCTTAGTTGTCAACGGTTCCGAACAAGTTTCACCGGACCCAAAATGTTGAGTCTGCTTTCTCCCCACAAATGCTACCAGACCTGCTGAGTATCTCCAGCAAATGTGTTTTTATTTCGGATTTCCAGCATCCACAGTTCTTTGTTATTTTTTAGAAGAGCATGCCAGAAAAAATACCACGCACAACTAAAATTGAGGTTTCAGCCTGGTGAAGGTGCAACACATGTCTAGATGCATGCTAAACAGTACTAACAACATGCAATAGGGAGGACGAGGTGATCCCACAACCAGTGAATCCGATCAAAGCACTGCAGACCTACCACATCCAGACATTGATCAGGTTGGTCAATTGAAGAATTCACTGGAGGAGGAGGCTCCACAAATATCTCCCTCCTCAACGATGGGAGAGCCCAGCACACAGTGCAAAAGAGAAGGCTGAAGCGTTTGTAACAATCTTCAGCCAGAACTGCTGACCAGTTGATCCATTTTGGCTTTCTCTGCAGATACCCCCATCACCGCTACTAGACTTTGGCCACTTTGATTCATTTCGTGTGATGTCAAGAAACAGCTGAAGGCTCTGGTACTGCAAAGACTATGTGCCCTAACAACATTCTAGCAATTTTACTGAAGGCTTATGCTCCAGAACTTGTGGCGCCCTCACCGAGCTGTTCCAATACAACTACAACACTGGGCATCTATCTGACAATGTGGAAAGTTGGCCAGGTCTTTCCGGTATACAAAAACTGGGACAAACCTGATCTGGCCAATTACTGCCCCATCAATTTACTATTGATCATCAGCAAAGTCAGTAGTGTTATCAAGCAGCACTTGCAAAGAAATAACCTGCTCAATGACTCTCAGTTTAGGTCCTACAAAGACCGTCTTCTGACCTCATTATAGCCTCGGTTCAAGGCAGTTAAATTCCAGAGGTGTGGTGAGCATGACAGCCCTTGACAACAAGGAGCATTCACCCATGTGTGGCATTGAAGAGCCCTAGCAAGACTGGAGTCAGTGGGATTCAGGAGGAGCACTCTCCACTTGTTGGAATCGTAGCTAGCAGAAAGGACATTGTTATGCTTGTTGGAGGTTTAGGTCCAGCATATCACTGCAAGAGTTTGTCAGGATAGTGTCCTAGGTCCAATCATCTTTGGCTGCTTCATCATTGACCTTGCCTCTGTCATAATGTCAGAACTGGGAATGTCTGCTGATGATTGCACTGTTTTTTACATAATTTATGACATCTCAGATACTGTGTCTATATGCAGTAAGACCTGGACAATATCCGACTTAAGTGGCAATAATGATTTAAACCACACAAGTGCCAAGAAAGGATCAGTTCCAAGAAGAGAGAATCTAACTGTTGCTCCTTGACATTCATTGGTACTACCATCACTGAATCCCCACTACTAACATACTGGGGATTGCTATTTACCAAAAACTGAGCTGGTTCATCCATGAAGGTACTGTGGCTACAGGAACAGACCAAAAGTTAAGAATTCTGCAGCAAGTAACTGACCTCCTTGCTCTCCTAAGCCTGTCCACCATCTATAAGGTGCAAGCAGGAATATGATGGAATATTCCCCACTTGCCTGTTGAGTACAGCTCTGAAAGCAAGAAGCTTGACACCACCCAATGCAAAGCAAACCAATTAATTGGTCACTTACCCACCACCTTCAACATTTGCTCCCTTCACCACTGACACGCAGTGGCAGCAGTGTACTTTATCTACAAAATACAATGCAGTAAGTCACCAAGGCACCTCTGACAGCACCTTCCAAACTCTCGATCTTTACCACCTAGAAAAACAAGGGCAGCACATACATGGGATAACACTATCTTTCAGTTCCTCTCCAAGCCATACATGAGGTGACTTGAACTATATTGTCAATCCTCTACTGCTGATGGATCAAAATCCTGAAATTACCTTCCAAGCAGCACTGTGTGTCCCTAAACCCTAAGTATTGCAGCTCATCATTACCGCCTCCGGATTAATTAGAGATGGACAATATATACTGACATAGTTAATGACATTGACCAGCCATGAACAATAGCAGAAAATCTCTCCGCCTCTCTATTTCACTTTTCTTCTTTGACATTCTTTTTAATTTCTTTGATTAAACTTTTGGTCATCTGTCCTAGGTATCTCTTTATATGTATCGTAAAACTTTTATTTAGCCCTATTTTTCTAATCAACTTTGTTCAGAGATGTTATTACACACCTCTACAGCAAGTGGGACTTGAACCTGGACCTCCTGATTCAGGGGTAGGGATGCTGCCACTGCACCCCAAGATGGTCCCCAAATGCTTTATAATGTTCTTGTGAAGCACCCTAGAATGCTTTATTATGTTAGAGGTGCCATATGAATCAAAGTTGTTGTTGCTGTGGTGGTGATTTGATATTGATAGGGGTGGTGCTCCAAAAAAGAATCTACAGGAAAGGCATTTCATTTAAAGGAAATTACTTTTTAATTCCAGCTTTGTGTGCTCCTTTCACGTTAATCTTCTATGTTCAATAGTTAGATTTCACCAAAAGGAAAACGTAACAGTAATAAATTACAGCATATATCCTGCCAGATCACATCATTGATGAATAGCAGTTGCTTAGTAATATAAGGCCACGGGACATTCTGATTTGTTTAAAGAATAGATACACTTCAGTTTAAAGTATGAGTGCCTTAGTATTAATGTACCAATTCCTCAAAAATGAGGTCATATTTCTTGCTCTTATCAATCCCTACTACACTTCTGCCAGTTGCAGTTTTTATTTGCTTTGGAAGAAATTAATGTCTTAATGAGGGGTCCTTATGATTGCCTTGTATTTCCCTTTCACTTTCAATTTAGCACATCTGTGTGAGATTAGAATAGCAAACTCTTCAAGGAAAATATAGGCACAGTCTGTGCTTCTTTAGCCCGCTCTGTGCTGCCTGACTATCCAGCAGATTTCAGTCAGATATCAACAAGACCATCTCCTGTCTCAACACCGACAACACCAAAGCAATCGTATTAGGATCCCCATTAAAGCCAAGTATCTTGTTTTGCAACACCATGGACTAAATTTTACCTTACAAAAATGTGTGGGTTGGGGGCAATATGAGATGTTAAAATGCAGAAAATCTGAAACAGGAATTTAACCTGCCTGAAATCCACCCAGGCCCAATTTTAATAGGGGCAGCATGTGGTGTAACGACAAATCTAGGGGAAGCAGGTGGACTATGAGGACTTCATTTTAACAATCATTCTTTTTTAACTTCAGGCAGCCAAGTTTCCCTTTACAGCACAACTTGTAGACCATGAACAAAAGGACTGTAATTCTCTCTAGTTCCAACAAGCTACTCAGTAAAGCCCTTGGCTCCAGTGATTTTTCTGCTCCCTACCCATTCAACTAGCTGCTCCCAATCCTGGCCACCATCTGCTCACCAACCCAATTACCATTGGATCTCTGTATAGGACTCCATAGACCATCATGGGAACCCCACTCTCACTACATTTAATATGCTTTCATGATCCAGATACCATCATCCCCCCTCACCACAATTGAGACCCCACCATAAAATAGGAAACTCCAAGCCCTGTGCAATGATGACCCTCGAATCCCCCTTCTCATTTTTCATTACAACCACCTACTCTCTTACGTTTCATTCTAGTGAAACAGTCTTCCCAGATCAAAGACCTCCAAAGGCTGTCTTAGCATTACATCTTAAACTTGCCTCTGTCTTCTCCTTCCACAACCTCTTAGAATCTCATTTTTGATGATTTCTTCATACACCACACTAACCCCTCTTCCATAACTGCTTGCATGAGAATATACTGAGAAAACATGCTAAAAGAAAAGTCACTGGACCCAAAACATTAACTCTGACTTCTCTCAATAGATGCTACCAGACCTGCTGAGTTTTTCCAGCAATTTCTGTTCTTGTTTGTTGTTGATACTGAAAGAACTGTTCCATCTCATTGCATCATTTCACTTATCATTCTGTTCCTGGTAACAAAATTAAAATATTAAAATTAGAACTTGAAGCAATATAATGTTGATTATGGTTAGAGACAAAACTGCAGATGCTGGAAACCAAGGAAGGCAAATGGGATGCTGAAAGAACCCAGCAGGCCAGGCAGCATCTGGAGGAAAAGAACAGTCAACGTTTATCCAGTCCTGAAGAAGAGTTATAACCCAAAACGTTGACTGCTCCTTTCCTCCAGATGCTGCTAGGCCTGCAGTGTTCTTCCAGCCTCCTGCTTGTCTATAATGTTGAATATGTTTATTTTAATGTGCTTATTTTCTTTTCTTTGAACTTCACAGATGCAACGACTGTTACTTTTGATCCCGTAACTGCAAATGAAAACCTTATCCTTTCAGAAGATCGAACAATCGTACGCTACACTGATGCAATTGTAAAGGCTCCATATAGCCCCAAACGATTTGATGACACTTTGTATGTGCTTGGTTCTCAAGGATATACATTTGGCAATCATTACTGGGAGGTGGTGGTGAAGAGTAAGTCTGATTGGGAGATTGGGGTTGCTTATTCATCCATACCTAGGAAAGGCAAATGTTGGTTGGGTAGGAACAATGTATCGTGGTCTCTAGAACGCAGCTCTGAACAGTATACTGTGTGGCACAATAACATACCTCTAAAAGTTAACATGAAGGGAAAACTTGAACGGGTTGGTGTTTATTTGAATTATCCTGGGGGTGTGTTAGCATTTTATGATGCTGAGACAATGACACTTTTAGTTCCCTTTTATCACAAATTTACTGAAGCTCTTTACCCTATTTTAAATCCCTGCAACAGTAAAGGAGGAAATTTTGCACCTTTAACAGTTTTGCAACTGAAAGGAATTTAGCCTCCATTGTTTCAAAATTTTCTTTTATATAATTTCTGTGACATACTGTATCTTGCCAAGCAGGACAACCAAAGGATTTGGCAGGGGGAGGTGATGGGAATGGTGATCTTGTACCCTTCCAGATAGCATTCACTAACAGGTAAAATTGAATGGGGTATTAAAGAAGCAGTGGGCCCATCCTTATCAATATCCAAATAATCATAGCTTGTATGTCTAGTGGAAGCTCTGACTTCTGCCTTGCATGGTATGTTTGCTGCCATGGACATATAGACTGCTGCCATCATGTTGCAAATACATACCAGTGTTCAGAAGGGGCCTGAAAGATATCACAACAATCATTCATTAACCATACTACTAGGATTGCTGAGGCTTCACTCTTGAAAAGTGGCAGGAACATTGAGCATGAACCTACTGCCCTCTCTTGGGAGACAATTATAGTGGCACAGCAGCCCAGTGGTTAGCAATGCTGCCTCACTGTGCCGGGTACCTGGATTCAATTCCAGCCTCAGGTGATTGTGTGGAGTTTGCACATTCTCCCCGTATCTGTGTGGGTTTCCTCCGGGTGCTCCGGTTTCCTCCCACAGTCCAAAGATGTGCAGGTTAGGTGGATTGGCCATGCTAAATTGCCCATAGTGTCTATGGATGGCTAGGTGGATTAGCCATGGGAAATGCAGGGTTACAGGGATAAGGTAGGGCGTAGGTCTGGCTGGGATGCTCTTCGGAGGGTCAGTGTGGACTCGATGGGCTGAATGGCGTGCTTTCACTCTGCAGGGATTCTCAACTAAAACATTGAGCTTACTGTCACTGCCACTCTGCCAATGCCCTTGCTGTGACCTGTCATCTAGCCAGCCTGTTTCCTGCCAGGAACAAAAACAAAGTTGCTGGAAAAGCTCAGCAGGTCTGGCAGCATCTGTGAAGGAGAAAACGGAGTTAACGTTTTGGGTCCGGTGACCCTTCCTCAGAACTATCTCCTGCCAGTCTTGCCAAGATGGTGCAGTCTGTTGGCAGGGTTTCATTTCCCCGAGCTGTTCGATGGTGTCCTCCAAGAGTATTTGCAGTATTTCTCCACTGAAATTCATCAGTTATTCTGCATCTAGTGGTGTGGTATTGGTTACAAACATTAAGACAGGAAGGCAAGACTAAGAGAATCCACAAGGGTGACCTTTGAATGATGGTTCAAACACAGATGACACAGAATGAAAGCAACAAGATATCAGGCATTGACAGGCGTGATTCACCATGGATGGTAACACACCAGCTGGGAATTGAGAGTTGACAAAGCAGTGCTATATCTTGCAGTCAATGGCAGCTTACATCTCAAGGAATCCTGAAATCTTCATAAAATTGTATGCTCTGTCTACTTGCTGCTGAGTGACAACAGAGAGTGAAAGATACTCAGCTGTCTTTGAATACTGAATATCAATGACCTTCTTGACAAAAAAGTGGACAGTAAGCTACGTGGTGATGTGAGCACCTCCAGCTTCAGTTTGGAAGGATCCAGAAGCATCAAGTTCGTTGTCATGCTTACCTTTACAGCCACTGCCAATATGGTTCTCAGCCTGCTCTGAGGCTTTAGTTGTACCTATAGAAGGTTGTAGATTTCAATGAAATCTGTCAGGAAAGAAAATTACTGTTCACTCTGTGTGGATATGATTTCCTACTAAGAGTCATTCTCTTCCACCTCTCCCTTCTAGTAGATTGTGTTTTTCTCTGCTGCCTCTACTCAGTATTTAACCTATGCTCTATTTTAAGAGGGATTCTGAGCGCAGCCCTCATGTCTGAGAACAATAGATTTGTGCAGAAGGCTTGAGTACCAAGTCCTTTAGTATTTGCCGAACCATTTCCTGCAGATGTTAACAACCTTAAAGAATGCTGGAAAGCACTAAAGACTCCTTCAGTTCCGGCAACTGTCAGGAAAAACAGGCTGGAATCAGACCCTGTCTCTTGGCACTGTGAGGCAGCAGTGCTAACCGCTGAGCCACCATGCTGCTGGGGATGGTAACAACATCAAACACATTGTTTATGACTGCATCATAAAAAGCTTAACATAGTTGTTTGATATTTCTCTGTCAGCGTTTTGAATGCAAATGGTAGTCCCCCCTTCTAAAAGGCCTAATGTTTGAACAGGGACTGAGAGTAGGGCAGTGAAACTAATGCTTGATTTTTGTGGTAAAGCGTTGGTATGAAAACGATGGACTACGTAAATATGATTCTATATATCCTCAAAAATAACAGACAGAGGAATGTTACAGCAGCTTATAAAGTGTTGATATGCTAATCTTTCTAATACAAATTTTCAGGTCATTGGACATTTCCCCAATCAATGTAATAAATTATGATCCTTGCCAATCCTAGCTCCATTTTAAATTTCTCTCCTCCCAATCTTCCCTTGAGGTATTGATTCTGTGCTGAGATGTGGCATTACTACTGCCTCTTGCGATCTGGTACTTCATCCAAGTAGTCAGTGTGTAAACCTTGGCATAAAGCAGCAAGCTATTTAACTGCTGGGAGCATCACAAGTTGGATCTCCAGACATTGCAGACACATTGCAGCAGAAATTCTTGAAGTGTGTCAAACTGGCTTTTGATTCACTGGACAGTCCTTCTCTCCATATCAAAGGATTCTAGACCCAACCTGCTGATCCAATGGCTGACTAATTGAGATAAATCATAGTTGAAGATGAACTTTGAAAAAGAATCCAAATAATATTAAACTTAACCAAGACAGAAGTTGCTGGAGAAACTCAGCATATCTGGCAGCATCTGTGGAGAGAAAACAGAGCTAAAGTTTTGGGCCCAGTGACCCTTATTCAGAATTATGAGATCTGTTTCATCATGAATAGGACTACACAAGCCTGTACAATCCTTTGGATTTCCCCTAAAAAGGAATGTCCACATCATCACGTCATAAACAAATGTACAGTGACACTGGCACCCTACAGGCCTTGTGATTTCATTTGGTGAATAGATTGGGTAAGTTCCAGGTTTGTTTAAATCAAAATACTGCAGATGCTGGAAATCTGAATTAAAAACAGAAAGTGTTGGGGAAACTCAGCAAGTCTGGCAGCACCTGGGGAGAGAGAAACGGAGTTAATGTTTTGAGTTCTGTTTGGCTTTTCTTCATAAGTTTCAAGTTTGTCCTCCAGCTTAAATTAATTAACTGAACTCTGACAGTTTGCACATGGATATCACAACTGATTGCGTGTGGTTCAGAATGTGGCTTTCTGAAAAAAAATGCTCGTCCTGATTGTAACCTAGCAACCCCTGTCTGAAGTCTGCTTGAATGAACATTGGGCAAGAATAAGACTGAGTTTTGCTGTGATACCTATTGGGAATGCATTGTCTGCTGCCACTTAATGTGAAGGTTCACATATGGATAATGACCAGTTACCAGAAGGAAACAACAGCGATTTAGAATTATACGGCAGCAAGAAAGAAATGTCTTCAGGTGGGGATGGGAGAAAAATAATATTGAGAGGAAAGCAATTATATGTGCAACAGACACTACCAATTAAAGCATGCACAATATAATGACTTCATATCAGAACATCTGTTTCAAAACACAGTGGAATCAGCCTGTGTGTTGTGTTAACATCTGTTGTGTGCCGAATGGTTATTTAGCTATTAATTCTAGTTACTTTTTGTAAATACTGCAGACTTGCTTTCTTAAGACATTATTGAACAGATGTAGTGCATTATTGTGCAAACATTAATTCACTAATTAATCTGATATTAAGAGTTATACCAGATAAAACAGGAACTTTTATTTATTTATTTCTTAACGTAATCTCAAGATCTCCCAATACATTTCACACAAAGATCTGCTCTTCAGTGGAAGTCATTGTTGTAGACCAAGACAGCAATGACATAAATGACCAGCTCATTAGTCTTAAGTACTTCTGTCTAATGTAAATTTGTAACATTGAAATGAAAGTTAGACTGGCACACCCACCACCTCAACAATGCTTTTGCATCCAGCTGCTGTTATCTCCGACAACTCAAAGCTTCTCAAACTAGTTGCTCCTAGAAATAAAGACACAGAATGCTGGGGGACAAAAAAAAATGCTTAGTTGGTCTGGCAGCATCTGTGTGGAGCTGACATTGTAATGCATTTTCAGAGCTGAAGACAATAAGTTAGATTTTGAGCTGTGAACACAAAGGATGTGGTTCAGGTGGAACAAAAGGGAAATGTCAGAGACAGGCTGGAGAGTAGGAGAGATTAAATCACAAATATGTCAAGGAACAGGAGGCGAAGGGAGCAGCAATACTTGTAGTCAAGTGACAAAGCATTGGTCTAGAGTAAATGTTAATGGCAAAATAAGGTCAGTTCTGACTGGGAGCAAAAACATTAACACAAGGTACAGATTGGCATTTCACAAATATAATAAAAAAGCATGAGTAGACATTCACTTTGCAATACAGGGCAACATGATTTGAAAAATGAATGGAGACCATGCAGAGAAGGAACAAATATCTAAGGTTTTGGAGTAGATTTGTAGCTCAGGTTGTGGGTGTTGAGGTTGGTTGGCTCGCCGAGCTGGTTTGTTGTTCTGCATAGCAGCAAGGAACAAATATGTAGGAAGATTATGGAAAGATGCAGTAAAAACAGAGATGTCATAGTGGGTGAGTTTAACTTCCCCAGTAATGACTGGAACTCCCTTAGAGCAAGAGGCTTAGACGGGGCAGAATTTGTTAAGTGCGGTCAAAAGGGTTTCTTAAAATGGTGTGTGGATAGTCCAACTAGAGGAGGGGCCATACTGGACCTTGTACTGACTAATGAGCCTGGCCAGGTGACTGACCTCTCAGTGAGAGAGCATTTTGGAAACAGTGAGCAAAATTCCTTAAATTTTAGAATAGCTATGAATAAGGATAAGTCACGACATTGTGGCAAGGTGCTAAATTGGGGAGGGCAAATTATGTTAGTATGAGGTAGGAGCTAGAGAGTGTTAACTGGGAGAAGCTGTTATCAGGCAAGTCCACATTTGACATATGTGAATTATT